CGCCAGCGCAGCCGTCGAGCATGCACTCGACGCGCTTGCCCAAGACCTGTACCACAGTCCGGTCTGGCAGCCTTCGGGCTCGTCGTCCGCCAGCGACCACCAGTCGCCTGGCAGGTCGTCCAGGGCGGCGAACCGGCCCTTCTCCCCAGGGCGTGCACACCGCCTCTCCAGAGGCAGGGCCCTGGGAACCTCCCATGCTCCCGATCTGGATGCTGAAAGCGGCGCCGAAGGCGGCCCCCAGTTGGCCGGCAAGGCTCCCTGGCCCTGTGGCTGGTTCTGCCCTTGCCCCGTGAGCAAGGTGTGCACCATGTCGCGCAAAGAACGGGCAGATCGTACCCGGCGGCTTCGGGCCCGCCTTGGGCTTAGCCTTAGCCTTGGCCTTGGCCTTGGGCGTGGCCTTGCCACCGCCCTTGCCGCCCTTGCCACCCCCCTTCGTGGCTAAGGTACGCTCGCCCCGCTTAGCAGCCAGAGCTTGCTTACGCAGCTCCTTGTCGTGGCTGTACGGGCACGCCTCGCCCTTGGGGCAGTTTCCGTGATCACGGAAATGGAAGCAGATCTTGCCCACTCCCTTGCCCCCTCCCTTGGCGCCTGAGCCGGCCGCCAAGGTGCTGTCCCTGGGGCCCGCGCCAGACTTGGCCGCGGCCTTAACTGCGGCCTTGAGATCGTTGATCTCCTTCCGCGCCTGCTTCAAAGCGGCCGCGGTCGGGTCGGACGTATCCGCACCCGGCGTGCTCGTGTACGTCGAGTGGGCCACCGCACGGTGCGCCGCTTCTCGCTGCTCGTACTCGAGCACGACTTTGTGGGACTCCTCCCAGGTGGCCGGCGAACGGAGCCCAACCTCCTTGTTGTCGCCCGGCCAAAGGCGCTTATCTGAGCGAATTTCCTTCTGCAAATGCGGCGGCATTTTGCGAAGGTAGCTCAGATACAGCTCCCTGGGAGTCTTCCCGAGTCCTACGGACTCCAGGTCCGCAATGGAAGCTTCGAACAAGGGCTCGAATTGATGCCCTGTCAAGCGACCCTTGGTCAAGGCGACGTGTTCACCGTCCACCCTGACTTCCCGTTCTTCACGGGACTCCCCGAACATCAGATGCTTGTTCTTTATCCGGAGATAAACGGCCTCTGGGTCCGAGAGCACTTCTCCGGACTTCCAGGCCGCTCTGTAGACGTTCGTGTACGTCTTGGCGCGTGACCCTTTGCACCGCGCCCGAAGGGCTAGGAGCCTTTCCCGCGCAGACATGCCGCGGCAGTTATTCGCCAGGCCGCAGACGTCTTCGAACTCTTCGTAAAAGAGCACGACATCCTTCGAATCACTCTTGTCATCGGTCAAGGTCGGCCAGTTCAGGTCCGTCTTGACAGAAGTGATCGAATTCTGCCCGCCACGGGAAGACAGAGCCTCTTTCAAGGCCTCCGTCTGCTCCTTAAGGGCAGCGGCTAAGTCAGTAGCCACCTGGTCGGCGCCGTCGGTGACCGACGCGCCGCCATTGGAGCCCCGCCTCAGGGCTTCGATCTCCATCTCCAGCGCTGCCAGCCTCCCCGCCACCCGTGAGGGCCACCGGAGCGGCCGCCGCGGGCGGGGCGTTAGACAAAACCGCCGCCGCCGGTGCCTTAGGCGCGGGGGCCGCCGCCTTGGCGACACTGCCCGCGACGGGCATACCACCCGGCGGTGAGACCGCCGGTGGCGGCAGAGGGGGAGGCGACAAGGTCGCCCCCGGGGGAACGTCGGACGGAGAGCTCCAAACCTTATCGGCGCTAGCACTCTGCTTGCCGCCGAGGGCAAGGATGAGCTCACCGATCGCTTGGATCTCCTGCTGGACGTCGGCAGCGTCAGTGCCGTCACCCACCTCCTTAAGCGCCGCGACCGCGAAGCGGGTCCGCAGTCGCCTAACCATACGGGTCGGGTGCCAGTCACCACCGACCTGCGCGAACTCCTCAGCCAGGAGCGTCGCTTTCGTGGTGAGCATCGCAAGCTCTCCAGCCGTGATGGAAACCCCATGCGCACGAAGCGCAAGAGCTATCCGAGCCACGCGGTTCAAGTAATCCGCCACGGGCTCCTGATCCGGCCGATAGAGCTCACGCAGCTCTGCCTGCAGGGACTCAGCCGTGCCAGGCACTGACCCCGCCGTGGAGGGCGGACCGGAAAGTCCCGCCCTACCATCGGTCAGGGCCGGAACGGCAGTGGGAAGCGCGCCGGACACGGCCGCGACCATCCCAGTGGCCATGGCCGCAAGCGCACCACCCGCGACAGCTCCAGCGCTCCGCGGTGGGCCGCCTAAACAAACCGAGCCATCCCCAGCATCAGGGATAAGCTCCGGACCCTCTCCGGCTTCCTCGCCGAGAGGCTCCTGAAGAGGATCAATTTCTTCATCCTCTTCTTCTTCCTCCTCTTCTTCTTCATCTTTACCAGCATCGTGGAGGAATTCCATGACGGAGCGCCACAAGGCTGCCTCCACTTCAGGCGAAGTATACCGACCATCGCGCTTACGAAGCGGTCGGCTCCCAGTGGACTTCCGCCACTTGAGCCACGCGACGTAACCCATACGCCGCGGATAAGGGACATCGCCGGCTTCACAATGGCCTGAAGCAGGGTGACGCCCTCGGGTTGCCCCGCCACCTCCGCCGACATGGCGGAGGCGGCGCAAGGGGGCGCGGTCCACGCCGCACCCACCAAAGGGCCGCGAGCGTGAGCTCAAGCCCACGCGTCCGGGCGGACCGCGGATGGGCGAGCTAAACAAGCTCGCGCCACCACAACGGGCCGCGAAGGAACTGAGAGCGTTTCCCAGAACAGCCCCCAATTGTGAAGCACCGCAAACCGGTCTTGCAACAGAGCAAACACGGAGCGGTAGCTGCTTTTTGCTTCGCGAGTCCAGTCGCGCACTCTCAGTCCCTAAGCCTGCAAAACAGCAAGCCGTCGCGAGTAGCAACTCCGCGTGGCGCGAAGCTACCTTAACTCACTACAGCCGTGCACACTTGGCAAAGCTTAGAAAGCAAAGCACTTGAGCCAAAAATTGGCGTTGACAAATTATGTACAACATGCAAAGCTAAACTGACAGCAGCCTGCAGAGACATGTGCACTGACACACGTGTGTGCACTCACATACTACTACGACGACGACTACT